CCAGCTATTCCCCTGCTGGGTATCTTCCCCAAAGAATTAAAAGAATCATACCAAAGTAATAAATGTGCACCCATGTTCATAGCAGCAGAATTCGTGATAGCTAAAACTTGAAAACAACCCAATTGCCCACCAACTGGAGACTGGCTGAAGAAAATATGTTTTTTTTAATGAAATGGAGTATTACTGAGCCATAAAGAACAAGAAACTAGAGACATTTATAGCTAAATGGATGCATATTGAAGCCATACTCTTAAGTGAAATAAATAGGACAAGTGTAAATACCAATAGTTTCTCTACTGTGAGAATCTGAAAGTGTAAATAAGGACTAAAAGGTATAATAGATAATGTGAAATAGGAAGAAAAGGCACAAAAGGGAATGGGAAGTGGGAGGGGAAGGGGAAAGGAAAGAAGGGAATGGAATTAATATGAGAAAATGGAAACATGGAAACAAAGTCTTTGTAAATAGGGAGGGATGGAGGGATTGAAGGGAGAGCAGGGGAATGGGAAAAAAATGAGAACCAAGAGAGATTATGTAAAGGTGCAAATTTCTAATGATGAATGTCATTATATTGTATACCTAAAAAATATCAGTAAAATTAATTTTAGAAATTATTATTTGTTAGCATATGAAATTAATTCCTAAATTTCTCTTTTGACTTCCTGTTTCACTTCACTTTTCATTAAATAAATATTTCTGAGTGCAATAACTGAAAAAAGTGAAAATGATTCCAAGAGGACTAGGAAATAGACTCTTATTTCCTTGATAAAAATTATTTCGTATATATTTTTCTGAAGTAAATATAAATCATTCATTTAGAAGAAATGGAGAAAACTAAATTACAAATGTTGTGCCATACTGAAAATATACATATGCATACAAATTTACACATGTGCAAATATTGGGACAAATATTAATGATGCAGTGTGCTTATAGCATGATGTTTTTGAAAATCTTTCTTTGCAGTATATGTTCATATACATATACACATAAAAACATGGCTCATATGGTAATGGTTAACTCAAAAATTTATTAAAACAAATTTATTTGTTTCAATGTTAATATCCAAATTATGTGAGTGTCTTTGCAAGGAGCAATCAAATAGATGGTAAATACTACTGCTGGGTGCCATCCAAGGGAAAGGCAGGCATGCCAATACTTTTAAGGTGCATCCTAAACCACCTTATTCACCAGATTTGGCACTGTATGACTTCTGGATCCTCCCCAAAGTCAAAATAACCATAAAAGTAAACATTTTTAATTGATTTGGGATGAGGCCATCATGACAGCTCAACTAAAGACTCTCATGAAAGAAGAAATCCAGAACTGCTTAAGAAAGTGGCAAAAACATAGGATAAATGTATTAAAACCAACAGAGAGCATTCTGACGGGGATTAAGGCCAATAATTCATTTACTGTAATAATTTTTTAAAATTTTTCTTTCTTTTAAAAAATTCATTGTTTATTGGTACATTTTAGGTATACAATATGATATTATTCATCATCGGGAATTTGCACCTTTACATGATATATCTTGGTTCTTATTTTTCCCCCATTCCCCTGCTCTCTCTTAAACCCCTCCACCCCTCCCTATTTGTGTTTGTTTCTGTTTATTTTCTTTTTTCTTATTTATTTCCTTCCCTTCTTTCCTTTCCCCTACTACTCCCACTTCCCATTCCCCTTTGGACCTTTTCTAATTTTTATTTTCATTTTTATTAGTACATGTTTGCAATACATAATTATTACATTCATTTTATGGAGTTTGTCTATGTATATAACACAGATTATTTCTTTTTGTCTCCTCATCCTCTTCTCTCCCCAGCTCATCTTTCGGTACTCTTTCCATTTGCCAAAGTTCTATCTTCTTGTTTTTTTTCTTTTTAGTTCTGGGGATCAAACTTGGGACCTTGTGCTTGAGAGTCAGGTGGCAGAACCACTGAGCTAAATCTCCGGCCCTCTGTCTTTTATTTATTTATATTTTTAAAATTTTTTTGGCATTGGGGATTGAACTTGGGTCCTTGTGCTTGCGCAGCAGGCGGCGAAACCACTGAGCTAAATCCCCGGCCCAGTCTTTTATTTTTGATCACTGAATTATTTATACTTTGGGTTTCTCATGTAAGAAAAACCATGCAGTATTTAAATTTGTGTGTCTGATTTATTTCACTTAACATTATGTACTCAAGGTGCAAGCAATTTCCTACAAATGACCCAAATTTAGGTTCTTTATGAGAAAGTACTACTTCATTTGGTATAAATATCACATTTTCTTTATCCAAGCTTCTGTGGGTGGACATATAGGCCCTTTCTGAGGTTTAGCTATTTTGAGTTGTGGTATATTTTTATTAATTTTTAAATTAAAAGAAGATAGCAGAGCTGAGATGCTAGCCCAGTTATCCATTGAAATTACCATGGTCTCTGTGCTCTCAGAACTGAGCACATGCTGATTACACAGAAAGATCTCTAGAGCCATATGACATTTACTAGCCTTTACATGAAAACGCACATGCATTCATCCCAACGAACTAAATTTAGTCTAATGAAGGTTAAAAATCAGCACTATTTTCTGTTACTTCTTAAGACATTCATTTAAATTATTCATGTTTAAACATTTTCTCTTATTTTAACACACATTTATTAAACAGATATTAATGACATCCATGTTTTGTTGAATAATGAAGTGATTTTATCTTCAAAAAGTGAAAAATTTAAAATGACATCCACCATAAATATAGAATATGTCACAGTGTAGTTGTCAAATACTGTATTTCAAAGCAACTATTTCTACCAATTTGAGATTTTTTTCTTCAAAGTTTATTATACAAATTAAAACCACTAACAAGATTTTGCATATTTCTCTTCACCAGCATTATTTTTCAGCCTGAAATGGGTGAAGAGTTCTGGTGTTTACTGAAATTAACCACTGAACTTCCAAAAAGAAAGGAAATACCGGAAATATACTGTGACCTTGGAAAGTAAGTTCTGTTTAATAAAAAAATTACTTTATTTAAGAAAAAAGTCTAAGATATAACAATATTGGTATAATGTATTTAATGATTTAAAACAAGAAATAGATATATTTCTAGTGGAAATCTTGACAAGGCAAGCAAATCAGGGCTTAGTAAGTGAAGAATTGTATTTAAAAGGATTGTTGAAAGGGAGGAAAAAGGATTAATTGTAATAGGCAAATGCTTCCATTCCAGAAATCTGCAATGTTCCATCTCACAAAATGAAACAGAAAAATAATTTTTTATAAGGTAAAAGAGAGGAAAGCAGATATAAACAGAATCTTAACAGTGAAAGTTGGACAACTTGACAAATGATAAATTCTCACATCACAAATGGGCCTTATCAAACCATTCATGGTTTTCTTTTGATTTTTAATTTTTGGTACCTTGTGTTGAACCTATGACCTCATAAATTCTAGGAATAAACTCTATCAGTGAAGTATAACCACAGCCCTCCTATTCTTTTATGTGCCATACTTCATTTATTTTCATTCTTGTAAAAATTGTTCTTGTTATTGATGGACTTGTAGGTTGTTTCTGGATTTAGTATATTATGAAATGTGTTGTTTATAACATTTTATATATCTGTAGCACATGTGATCTCATTTTTGTCAGACATAAACAGGAGGATGCACTATATGTTGCTTGTGGCATGGATTTATTTAAATTTAGTAGATAAGAACAAAGTATTATAAACTGACTGTACCTATTTACATTCCCAATAGCCATGTCTGAATTGTTGCTTCATATCCTCAAGAATATAAGTATTGTGAGAATAATTTTAACTATTTTGATTTTTGCTAAGTGCTATCTCATTGTATTTGTAACTTACATTTCCTCATAGATATTGCAGTTGGGTACAGTTATATAATTTTTGAAGACCATTTTGACATAGTCTTTTGAAGTGATTATATCTTTTCACCATTTTTTCTGATTTGTCTGTATTTTCCTTTTTAACTTAAAGATTTTTCTATATTTTGGATATAAATTGTGTTAGTTATTTTTCTCTCATTGCTGAGACAAAATACCTGACACTCAGAGTTGGAGGGGAAGGGGTTTATTTGGCTTACAGTTTGCAGAGGTTTCAGTTCATAATCGCCTGGCTCCAAGGCAGGGATGACAGACAGGCATCACAGAGGAGAAACAACATGGCGCGCACACAGTAGCAAGGGCAACAAGAGGGCTTCAGTTCATGGTGGTGGAAGACAGCAAAAGCAACAAGAGAGAGAGCTTCACCTTCTCTTTCTGCCTCTTTTATCTTTTTCAGACTACTTAGGGTGGATAGCACTCAGGCCCTTAATCCTAGTGCCCTCAGGCCTAACCCCACCATGAGTCAATCACAGGATCTAGATTTAAGTACCTCTGGAAAAGCATGAGGCTTTGGGGAAACATCAAAATATCAAGCCATAATGTAAATCACTGTGAATTATATATGTTGTAAGTACATTTTCTTGTACTGTAGGTTACATTTTAAAATTTGTTAGAGAGGTCTTTTAAAAGAAAATAAATGCTTAGTTTTAGCAAATTTATCTGAACAATCTTTTTTGTTGCCAATTGTTTGTTTCTCTCAAGATCATTACCATCCACTATGTCATTTCCTGAACAATTTATTTTTTATACCTATCCTACCCAGATCCACTATCTAGCTAGCATTAATATCGGAGTGTGAGAATAACATGAGGTAGGAGATCAATACATTCATTAACTCAAGACCCTGGTCATAGCAGCTTGGGCCAGAGTATTGGCAATATTATGGTGAAAGTGTACTTTGCTATCTAATACCATGTGATATATAAGAGAAACAGAAATGCCTGGATAACACTAAGTTTATTGACCTGAAAAGCTAGAGCAAAAAGTTTACAATAACTGGGATAGAGAGAACTACACAAAGACCTAGTTTAAGGTTAGATATCTAGAATGCTAGCCCTGATATTTAAGGTAACTATCAGACATAAGAATAAGTAGAAAGTTGAGTAAAAAGCCTGGAATGCAGTAGAGACAATCAGTTTGGAGATACATATTTAGTTCTTCCTTGCTTTGTAGTGAGTAGAAACAGTAATGATTAAACAATAGAATTATGTACTTGCATTTCTAAGACAGAGACATCCTTAATTATGCTCCACAGTTGACCTTAGAGATTATTATTAATGAAATTTAGAAAGATAGGTAGGAGTCATTTAATAAATCCCTGGTAGAATGAAATTAAATCATGTCAGCTCCCCAGGATCTTTTGCATACTAGAGGAATATTTTGCTTCATAAATTTTATAATAAATGCATTTTTTCCAGTGGTTTGTGATTATTTTCTCATCACTTGGATTCTGTATGATCTGCTTATAATTTTTTTTTGTTTTGAAGGAGCATAAGAGTTGGAAGAAGTTGATAACAGTAGGACAGAGTGTCCATGTATGCTTTATTCTGTAATTAGTTTTAAACATGCTACATCTTGGTTCACATTAAAATTAACTTTTTTGTTTTTCATTGTTCATATTTTAAATTTTCTCATTCTATTCTATATTAACAACCTTGAGGCAGTTTTGATGAAACAATTTGTCATGACTGTGAAGAAATATGGAACTGTGCTCGCTTCAGCAGCACATATACTAAAATTGGAAGAAATATGGAACTCACAGGGAAAGTAATAAATTATTAAACTCTTAAGAATTTTAAATTTGTTCCTAAATTATGTATGTATCAACAATCCTCAATACATGCTTCTATGATCTACAGTCCTCATTGCTAATATATTGGAAAACTAGCACATAAGAAACTATTAGATTAAATTTAAAAACCTTTTTATTGGATTAACAGTGAACCAAGCACCTCTTCATATTTTTTTATGTGATTCACTGGCAATCAGTCTTTCTTGCTTTCTGCATCAATCCCATTTCAAATGTCATCAAGTTATATTAATCCTCTGCAATGAAATTGATTTTAATCTCTACAAAGCTAACACTGTTTTTCATGTGTTCATTAGTGAATATTTTGAAATAGAGTGTGCATCATTTCATAATTACAGCTTGCATTTGCAGAACATCAATTTTAATTTTATTTTGGAAATCAATTGTTTTATTTATAAAGAAAATATAAGTCAAGTTATAATTATGGGTATTTTTAGTGTACAATTTGTACCAAATACATTTTATTTGGAATTGAGCCTCTGTAGCTCAGCTGTAACCTTCTTGAACTTGGACTCATCCTTCTATCTGCATGGTAGATATTTAATTAAATGTACTACAGGCTTATTATCTCTCAGCAAAGCTCCCTGCTGTGTATTTATCTCATTTAGTGTCCTCACCTTGTAAACAGCCATCCAAGCCATGACTTTAAAATTCTTTTGACTGTCTCACACTAAGAAATCTATTTTGTTTTTCAACCTAGAAATCATAAACACACACACACACACACACACACACACACACACACACTTGAAATGGGAGCATCATGATCATTACCTACTCATATCAAGTGTGATAAACTGTGATGTTAGTTGCCATATTTATTCTCCTTATGTTTTTGTATTGTGAGCAAAAATACAAATAACATAAAATTAACTGTTTTAAAGTAGACAATTCAGAGGCATTTACTACCTTTGCACTGTTTTTGCAACCATCACTTCTATCAACTTCTAAAACCTTTTTATCACTCCAAAAGGAAACTATCTATTAAGCATTTGTTACAACTACCCCATCCCACCCCCTGCCTCAGACCCTAGAAATACTAATTTGCTTTCTGGCTATATCTATTTAGATATTACATAAAATAAGATCATACAAATATGACCTTTTTTGTTTGGCTTCCATTTTAGTATGTTATCGCACTGCTTTGCTACTTAAGGAATTAATCTGACAGTCCATTACTGGGCCATTTACATGCTCTATAGGCCCATATATAGACCATCCTTTTTCTTGTCCCTTCTTCCAAACACAGACATCAACCAATTTGCATTCTTTTTCCCAGTCCATATCTCTGGAAGCTCTTGTCTCTATATTTCTATTGCTCAGGTCCTCATGCCTTCAACTGGATTGTTATACCACAATGATTATAATTAGTGTCTGTGCCTCGCTTCTATTCTCACTACAGTTCATTTTCCAACTTGTATGTACTGTGTGTGTATTTGAGAATGTCATACTTCTACTTAAAATAACAAATAAATGCACAAATGAATAAGTGCTCCAGCTTCTTTTACTGCCTTCAAAATAAAATGAAAGTGTTTTAGCTTGGTGTGCGAGACTCTTCACATTCTTTTGTTGTTGTTTTTTTTTTTTTCGTCTTGTTATTCAACCCTAGTCTAGCCACCACTATTAGATCTGACAGTGGGCCATTTTTATCTTTGCTGTCCTCAGGGAGTAAGTAAACTTACTATGTAATGAGCTTTTGCCAGTCCTGATTCAAAACCATAGGTTTCTCCACACATTAAAAAGATTTTGTATTTTAATAAAATGAGACTAATGGATGCAGATCTTAGTTTTCACTTTAATTGATAAGAACAAGTATGAGACTCATTTTAACTGAATGTAGATCCTCTTTGGGAGAACATTAAAAGTTTTCTGCAAAGTATACTTGACAGTTGCAGATTTTTCTAATTCTTACATATGTTTCAACTTATTTATAAGATCTTATATCAAATACCTGATAGTGAAAGGTGATGTAAGTCAGAATATTAATAAGAACATTTAATATGTCTTGCTCAGAAGAAGGTTGCTTAAAAATCCTGTATTTGATTCCTTAGGGTTAAATATCCAAGAACCTCTCAAAATTAGATTTTAAAGCACTAAAGAAATGTTCTTAATTTTCTCAATTTTGTTTTGTTGCTACATGGAAACTTTTGATTTTGTCTTTTATGGGAATTGAGTTTTGTTGCATAATCAATAAAGAGAATGAGACACAGAGATTATTTTAAAAGCAATATGCCAAATTGCACAAATCAGCAAAATGTATTTGTTGAAAACAAATATAAATTGAGCTAGTGCCACACCACGTGAAGTAATAACCTGCTTCAGACTGAGGTTTAAATGCTGGTTATTTTTGAAATAAATTTCGGCAATGTACATATAGTTTTAAAGAGATGATAAATTGAATTTAGGAAATTAAGAGCTTTATTTACTATCATTAAAATTTTTATCTCTAGTATATGAGCAACTTGTGAAGCAAAATAAAATAGAAATAGCAGAAAGGATCATCTTCATTTAGTGTATTTTTTACATTATTTATTCATAACCAAACACAAGGCATGTACTTGCAACTTGATTGTTTAAACAAATGTAAGGGTGCCAAACATAAACACTTCAATTTCAATTAATCACCAGCTGTTCTTGAAACTAATCTAGTCATGAGAAAATGTTAAAATTATGGGGCTCTGAGCTGAAATATAAATCACTAAAATGAGTTAAAATCCATAGCATTGCATCATATATGTGCAACAAATTTGCCTCTCAATGATATTTGAACAACTTGTTTATTTTCTTGTAGTAGCACAGATAACTAGTTTGAGAACATTTTGTTTATAGTTTACTATGATATGCTTTATGAGAAAACTTGTTTCCTTTATAATATACAACTGCGTTGGCACATACCTGTAATCCTAGCACTTGAGAGATTGAGGCAGGAGAATTACTATGAATTTGAAGTCATATGGGCTACTCTGTGCGTTCAAAACTAGCCTGAAATACATAGTGAGATTCTACCTCAGAAAACCAAAGTAATAATGATAATAATATATGAAGTAGATACTAACCAAAAAAAGATGGTAAATCTGTCATGAATTTTAATTTACTTTACTTACTATAATTAATGAAAATGTGATTATTTTCATGAAATTATTTTTCATATGTATCTGGAGAAATAAATTCACTGTTTACAAAGTTTTCAATTTGTAACTGAGAATTATGAAACTAATATATAATATTCTCCTCATGGATCACTATATGCATATATATTGTGTAATAAGAAAATTGTTTATTTCAAACAGTTTGAATTAATGAATTGAATTCTACTCTACAAGTATTGCTATTCTTCTCTGTCCTAGGACCCTAATATGAAAATTAATAATATATATTTCCTAATGAGTCTCTTATTTGTATTAAAAATTTGACTTCTAAATATTTTAATCCTAATTATCTTGCATTATAAGCCAGAAATACTAGAGCAATAGATAAGGGAATCTGTAAATATCTAAAATTACTCTATTATGATTCCATCCTTCAATAGTACAGAATGATCAAAACCTATGAGAAATTATGATTGATTGAAAATTATGAGCCCTCTTTATTATTCTTTGCTTTTAGCATAAGTAGCAGTCGTATTTTTTAGCATTTGCTTATTATCAATTTGGATTTTGTTAATATTATGGATGGAAATTTTGTGTATATATTGTTATTATTGCTCTTAGACTATGTTAGATTTTTTGGCTGGGTTAGAAGTTACACAGTACTGAATAAACATTGCTCCTCAAACTGTAGTATATTCAAATATTCAATATGGAATAACATTTGGTCTCTATAATACAGAACCAGGGATGAATTTGTATAAATTGATTTATCTTTATTCACTACATAACTGTTCTTATTTTGAGATTCATAAAATTCATCACACTAGATTCCTAGGGCTACCTTAACAAGCACTATAAACTGAGTTGCTTAAGAAAGTATAAATGCATTGTCTTGGAATTGTGGTGGCTAGAATTTCAAAATCAAAGTGTCAGAGCTGAAGCCTGTAAGAGAGAATATTTCTTGTTTCTTTTATCTTTTTGTGATTGCCATTAACTTTGGGCTTTTCTGGACTTGTACATATATCACTCCAATGTCTACATCCATTGTCACTTGAATGTCTACTGGATTAAAAAGTCCACCCTACTCCAAAATGATTTCAGTTTAACTTAACTCAATAACAGATAATATCACATTCTGAGATGATGAAGGTACTGGGAGTTAGAATTTCAACATTTTTAATGTTACAGAACTTTATTGGTCATTATGACTAGTTGGCATGTATAGAAGATGTACACCATTTTATTTTTTAATCTGTTTTGAGTAAAATCTTTTTTATTTTGAATGATGTTTGTTACACAGTCAAAATACAACACTATACCTCATAAGGATGTACAATTATTGTATGTCAATTTATCTTTTGAGAGGCTATAATTCAACCTGTATTGGTCAAGCATATGGAATTATCACTGAACAACTTTGTAAATACCAGCAATTTTACTCTTTGTTTTTCCCCCCAGGCATGTCATTCAGACCATTCCCTTATATAATCCTACACATGAAACTTTGGAATTGCAAGTAACAAACAGTAATCCTGGAAATTTTGTCCTGGAAATTAACAGAACATTACCAGTAAGTACATTTAGAAAGTGATGAAACCTACTGGTACTACAGCATTTTCTAATTATTACTTTAGAACATATGCAGAGTATTATTTGAATTATTAGTAAGGATTTAAATATTGAAAATTTAAAAAATATACTTTTCTATTATATAATTTCTCCATGAGTTTCAAACTATCATGAAAACAATATTATGCTAATTTGTAACCTTTGAGAGTATGTATGCTAAAATGATGCTCATTATCCTAAATTTTAAATAAACTGGTTGTATTTTTATTTTTCATGATTTTAGTAATCACTTTCTTACAATAGTTGCCCAGTAATATGACTTTAACTCAGGAGTCATTACATATTTCCAGTGTCCCAAGAGATCAGGTCATCTCTACCCCTTCTACATTCCCTGCTGCCTATATACATTTCTAGGCAGTGCTAACAGCTCTGCCCCATCACCTCCATTCTTGCCTCTACCTCAGTTTCTCATATTTGTGCCCTGGGAAAGACTAGAGTCAAAGCAAAGGATGAACCTAAATTAGATTTTTTCTTCCTTCAAGTTACAAAACAAGGTAACTATAGTTTAACATATCTTTCTGTTTCCAAAATATAGGACTCAATTATTTGTGATGAATGGGAAACAACATACGTTCAGATAAACATCAAAATGATATTTCCAGGCTGGGCAAGGTACCACATGCCTGTGGTTCACCACTCTGGAAGCTGAAGCAGGGGGATCACCTGAGCCCACAAGTTCAAGGCCAGCCAGGGCTACAAAGCAAGGCCTTTTATGTAAAAAAAAAAAAAAAAAAAAAAGTCATGGAAAAGTTATTTCCCACAGTTTATTTTCATCACACGACCTTACAATGAATCATAGAGGTCTGCTAGCAGATATGATATTTAAATTAAGGCTTTACTGTTTGGTGTTAATAGACTTTGACAAATTTACACTTGTATTTCTTTGTCTCTTGACACCTATTTCTTGGCAATAACTGATTGCAGAATATAACATCATGATATGAAATTACTTAATTTTCATTTTTGTTTGTTTTGAGACAGAGTCTCACTATGCAGTTAGTTCAGGCTGGCCTTGAACTAACACTGTAGCCTAGGCTGGCCTCTAGCTTTTGGTGATCCTTCTGACTCAGCCTCCTTAGTGCTGGAATTATAGGCGCGTGCCCCCATGCTCAGCTCTGAAATTACTTCTTAATGGTAATAATGTGGCAAATTAGAAATAATTAATTATTTTATCCCTAAAATTGGTGTATACACCTCAAAAACAAGTAGTTTAAAAATTATTAAAATGTACATACATGATTTTTATTCAACACCATATTTTCCTAAATTATATGGAACATGGGATTCAGGATATAGTTTATATATAACATGAGTAAGTTGTGTTTTCATATTTTTTATATTTCTGCTTTTAGAGAAGAGTCTAATGTATGGTCTAAAGGAAAATAAATGCAATATAGCTCCTGCAATTTAAATAACAAGATGGATTCTCTTTTATCCATATAAGTGTGCACTACCATGCCTGGCTCCAAACTGTATCTCTCTCTCTTTTTTTTTTTTTTGGTACTGGGGATTGAACTCAGGACCCTGCACTTGCAAGGCAGGCGGCAGAACCACTGAGCCAAACCCCCGGCCCCAAATTGTATCTTTTAAGATCGTGTTATTCTCTTTTTGTCTCATATTCATGTGAATTCTGGTCCACTCAACTGTCACAAGAATATCTTTCCTTCATGAACTATGATTCAGTGTAAATCCTACATTAGAATTAGTTATATAATGAGGCTTGCAATAAAATGTTTTAAAGTTTCAAAGTAGTTCTCCATTTAACATATTCATTATACCCCATTACGCAAACAAGTAAAGTTACTGCAAATTAAATTCTTAAAAATGATGTTTATCTTTCTAGGACATATATTCTTCATGAATTTCAGTGAGATTTAGGTATAAATAAAATTTTGAATTGAAATGCTGCTTGATTGTATACACTTGCTCAATTTTTCCCACATGCCTATACCATATGTTTATAGAAGTGGAATTTGAGAATACAGAGGCCAAAGCATTAAACTAAATCATTTTAATTAACTGAATTAAACTCCAAGTTAATGTAGTATCTTGTTTCCTTCTTTCTCCCTCCTTCCCTCACTTTCTCACTTTGTCTTTCTATAGAAACAGATGTATATATACACAGAGATATAGCTACATACTTACCTATCTATAGCTGTAGAGAGAATAAACAATTTTTCATATATGCTAAGTTAAAAGGATATGTAAAATTCATTTTTTGCTAAGCCTAATGATGAAACTAATTTACACATCTAAAGCATTTATTTATTAACTGATAAACCCAAAATATTGGATGGATTAAAGAGAAGGCCAGTCTAAGATAAAATTATTTGCTGCAATAAACTATACATATTTAATTAGGAAAGTGACTTTGTTGTAACTATTAAAGTAAATTTTCACTTGCAGTTCGTGGTCATAATTGCATTTGATTGAGCATCAAATGCTGTATTTTACAAGGATTGAATGATGCTACTAGCAATTTTGCTTTTTCAAAGTTTATTTTTGCAAATATATTAGTATAAAACAATTGACTTACTTTTCAGACATGTGCCACTTATTATATTGTTCTGTAAGTGTCGATATTAGATACTGTATTATTTCCATTGTAATATACACTGGGAATGATGCATACTGCTTGCTGTAGTTTCCATTTGTTATTTTGATTTCATAAGACACCCAAGTCTTCATTATATTGTGATAGAGTCATTGGTTTCTTGCACTATGTGTAAAGAACTAATTCAAACTCTTAATGTACATAACAGCAGGTCATACCTTGAGTGTGTAGAGAAAGTTTTCCACTAAAGAGGAAAACTTTAGTGCACATTAAAAAATCATGTCTTCCATCTATACTTTAAACAGTTCGTTGTTTTTGACATTGCCAGGGCTACAAGTTAAGTTCCTAGGAGCTTGACATGTACCATGGAATGGTAAATAAGACATGGGCTTAAATAAAATCCACATTTCTGTGGATTTAAAAGGATATAATCCATCTTTTAACCCTGATTTAAGAGGATATAATCCACTTTTTAATCCTGACTTCCTTTTATGCTGTGATTAAGTTCACATTGTTTGAGGGAAGAACATGCCATAAGAACCACTTCTGGGCTCTTTTATCAGTATTCCAAGAGAAGGTTTACTGAGAAAAAATAATGTATGTAAGACCACACATTTATCACACAAACATCAACTTTGCATATACCTAGCAACAGAGATGCCATCTGAAAGAAAAATGTTGACTTTTGTTTCTCTTTTGCTTCTTTCTAAATTTACGTAGCTGATTATACTTCCTCACTCCACCAAAGAGGTAACAGTTTACTTTTATCCTTCTGCACTTGGAAGAGCTGGTCATGAAACTTGTATCAACTTCTTCTGTGCTCAGGTATGATAAAGACTATTCTAGGACTAAGTCAAGCTAATGAAATTTCAAAATACATACATAAGTAATTCCAATTTATTCATTTCACATCTTTTCAAGAAAAAGAAATTCATTGTAAATCATTACATAAATATACATTTGAAAATACAATATACATTATCTACTCACAAGAACCTAAATAAGGTAATTTTATATCTTTGGATCTCTTAAATGAAGGAGAGTATATGCGCAGATTTAAAAGATCAATATTTTAGTGTAAATATCAAATCATTTCTATATATGTTAATTTTCAGACTTCAGTTTTATTATTTAAATTTACATGAAAAGAATGAAATGTAGATTGAAGTCTTGCAAATACTGTTACTTCTGCAATTTCATTTTATTTGTACAGTGTCTAATTAATTTTTAAAAACCATTGAGCATTACTAAATGTGCGCTTTCTCTCTCTCTCTCTCTCTGTAAGAAATGTCTCAACTCATTCACACCACAGCCCAATAAAACAAGTAATGTTAACAGTACTTTTTATGGATCAGAAATCTAAGACACAGAGAAATTAAGATCAGGAGCCTAGTAAAAGGTTGAGCGGAGAACTAAATCCAGTGTAGCCACTATTACATAAGATAATAAAACCTTCATTATATGGTAATGGAGTAATTGGCTTCTTTCATAATCTCAAAAGAGATAATACGAACTCCTAGTGTACAGAACATCAGGTCACACTTTGAGTGTGGATATATTAGGGTAAAGGGAAAAATTTTAGTGCACATTTTACAAAAATGTGTCTTCTGTCTATGCTTGGAAATAGTTAATTTCTTTTGACATTGCCAAGGCTACCTGGTAGGTACCATAGGATTGTGCAATAAACTATGAGCTCCTAAATAAAATGCATATTTTTACTGTCATCTTCATGGCTTTCACAGCTACTTACAGTTTTTCAAACCTAATGTAACTGTAACTTATATCCTCATAAGTAAGTATAAGTCTATTACTGCTAATTAAAAAATATATATTTTAAATTTATTATAATTTTTCCTCCCTCAAATGTGAATGGGAAGGAAAATAAATAGGGAAATATACTTCATATTCTAGAGGATATTGAAGAAGTCACAAAAGCCTTACTTACCTCTCAGTGTCAGTGGAAATAAATATAATGCAGGGATCCACATGTCTGTGCAGGGTCTGTGGAAGACAAGTATCCTCTTCTCAAAAATGTATTGTAGTTTATTTTTAGAAAAAAAAAACTGTTTTGAGGCTGTTAAATTTCTTAAATGATAACATGACCTGAAACAAAATTATGAATTTATGTTTGATTCTCAAAACTGTTTAAAAAATTTAACAGTAATTCTCATGCAGAGAGAAAAATTTAGTGGGTATTATTTTCTTTGAAGTAAATAATTTTAACAAGGTCTATCTTTTAAAGAACTGCTTCAGAGCAGGCTTACAACTTCCAAATTTTAATTATTGAGGCCACTTTAGTTGCTTACATTTCTGATGGAAATTGTATCTATATAAGGATAGTCTTGCATATCAACAGGATTACTGTCAGTTTGGCATACTAATTGCTTTAGAATACTCTACAGTAATGATGAACCTTTTAGAGCTTTCAGTGATACAAACAGCCTGCTGTAGCATGCGTGCCATAGTTTCACCACCCCACGAAGTTGAAAGTTAAATTCTGTATCAAACACATGAGAACTCAAAGAAGTAAGCAATCACCTTAAATCTTTTTTGAATCAGCTTATCTCAGTCACTCTGAGTATCTCCTCCCAAGCTGTAGCAGATCTCTAAGGATTCATTTATAGTTAGACTTGAATCAATAATTCATCTGTTTAACTACTGGATCAAGACCTCTTCAACCTTTTCAATACACCTTTCCCACCTTTGTGATTTTTCTTGCCCTTTTTACCTCTAAATGACTCAGATCTTCCTTTTTATTTAATTTATCCAGTTGATGTCTTTTGCAAGCAAAACCTGTTCATCATAAAGTATTAATTGAGTGAACTTTTTAAAAAACAGTATATATTATGTATGAGCAAACATATAAAGAATACATTTTTAAAATAAAGCTTTAGAGTCTATTTTTCCAAGTCTGAGAATTCGGGCTAACATTTTACCATTAGAAGGAAACCCACATAGATTTATATACCCCTCTTTCCATTTAAATGTTTAAATCTACTTGAACTGACATGCACAGCTGAGTAGCTGATTAATCTAAAATCAACTAATGACAGTGCTTATAGGATAAACTTAATTTCCAATTGTGTCTCTTGGCTAGACTGAGGGAAATAGCTGTGGTGAATAATCTACTTTGTTTCTGGCTTATATCCATGTGATGAGCCCTGTGTCTAAAATCTGACTTTGAACTCAAGTTGTGTCGATTTTGAATCTTGAAGTTAAATTGACTGAGACATCACATTGAATATTATGAATTCATTATATATCAGACGTAATGATATTACATTACTGCATAACAGAAGAGAAACAGTTGTAAGCAGCATATGTGGCAATTGAAACTTTTTAGTCTCAAATATTATGTTCTTAGATTTTTTCTTAGATGTTTTATTATTTAATAGGTGCCTTTGTTTCCTTCATACTTGATTATCATTTCCTCTCAATATTAGAATAGCAAAAATGAAAGATGAAAAATCAAAACAGTTTTATAACTCAGCATGAGTCTGTGACCTTTGCAGGCTGCATCTATGGAATCTGCATCTCTTGAGTCTGCGTTCCGTTAATTCTGTGGAGCCCAGCTCAGTATGCAAGCCAGATTTACAATCTTTGATCTCCATTTACTTTCTCTTTTAGGATTCTCAGATTTGAATCTTTAAAAGTTGTACTATTGGTCATTTAGAACAAGGTTTAGATAAATATAAGCTAAAAGTGATGCTCTTTTTAATGTACATGTTTGCTGGGTTATTTTTAAATTTTCCTCTCTGAACCCAAGTGGATAATTTAATCAATGTTATGACAACTGTAACTAGCACAAAATGACAGTACTACTGGATTATCTAGTTCAGTGAAAAGAAAGTTTGTGATATTATCTGTTTGTTTCTCCTGGGTAGACCTCTTGTCAGTCCGTATCTTGTACTCTGTGTAACTACTTTGAAGATGATACACAGTGTGTTAACTTTGGTTACTCCTATTTTGATGTAAATTTTGTTTTATTTTCTCATAAAATAAAAAAAATGGCGGGGTTCAGCTTAACATAAAGACTCCAGTATTTCAATCCAATTGAAGAAATATGGAACATTACTTTTTTGTAGTTTGGGTCATTTCAAAGGTTTAAAGTAAAGGGGTTTCATTTGTCAGTTATGTAAAATCAAGTTAGTATGTACTGATTAGAAGTGTAGCAAATTTATATTATGCTATTGCATTCTAACAATAATATAGCATTTGAAAACAACATGCAGATACAATTTTCCTTTAATCCCTCCTACTAATAAACAGCATTTTATGGATTTCCTCTGATTGCTTATCCTAATTTTAAGCATTCCTAAGCAAGTTTCCTTCTGTTATTGGTATTTAAGCTTAGGAATATCTATGTAGTGAAGTTAAAAGATTAAAAACTAGAACGATTCATCCATAACATCAACAAAGTAGTGCAGAAGTAGAAGATATCTAGAACTGAATATAAACCTGCTGTACATTCAAGTCATTTTTATTATAAACAAATACATATAGAACATTTGCAGGCAGAGTTTTGCAGGCTTGTGGAACCTGAGTCAAAACAATAACCACATGCAATCTTGTTCACATAACTCTGAGCCATTTTTCTATTTCATATGATAACAGAAAATGTATTATATTTGATGATGAGGATACATATATGGCATACAGTTTTGCACACTTCATTTTAATAGAACTTTAGTCTGTGCTTCACCTTCTTTGTCTTCATTTGAAATTCACCCTGAAATTTTGGAAACTCCATGTAGTGTTCAGTACTCAGCTTATTAGACAAATTGGTTTCAAAGAATTTTGAACAAAAATGGAAAGTTTTACATTAAAGATTATCTTTTACATTATTATAATAACTTTATATGCATTGCAATATGTGGCAATTTGCATGTTGGTTTTATTGCCCTCATCTTATTCAGTGTAATAACACTGATAATGATTTTTCAGTAAAATCAAAAAGAATTTGGAAATGAAAAGAAAGGTAAAAAATACATATTAAATGTCAACAACAGAACTTTTCATACCTGCCAAAAATTTTATATGTTACACTTATTAATGTTGCAAATGAAATGTATGCAGTTAGGATAATTATGTTATAAATATTTACCTTCAAACAGTTTGAAGAATGGAAATTCTACCTCCTTGGAGTAGGACTATTTCCCCAGCCTATAGAAATAGCAGAAATGACCACATGCATTGGTCATCAGTCATCCATCATTATACCTTTCAAAAATCCCACCAAGGAAGATGTGTCTATCAACATCATTCTAACAAGTGAGTTGTTTTTCTCACATTTTTAATATTATTTTGTAGATATTAATCAAACTTGGCTTTAAATAGAATCAAAACATCTTGTTATAAAAGAGAAAAATATGGAGGGATAGATGAAATATCTTCATGATGGTGGAGAATTAGGTAGTTATGTCCTCAATTAGTCTCTTCCAATTTTATCTGTAAGCCCAAATACTGTATATAAGTTAGTCAATCCGTAAGATTCTTTTTTATTTTTTAATTTTTTGTGGTACTGGGGATCGAACTCAGGACCTTGTGCTTGCAAGGCAGGCACAGTGCCACTGAGGTAAATCCTGGGCCCATGTAAGATTCTTATTGGTATTAAATATAGCAATGCTTATTCTTCAAAAGTTTATAGAAATTCTAGTGTTAGAATTTTGTTTTCTCCCTCTCTTTTCTTAGTAAACATATTGGGATTAAATTTTGGTTCCCACAACTCTTGTCTCTTTTTTGTCATATTCAAGATGCAGGCTTTTAAATTAAAGTGTGTGGAGTTTTTAATCACTTCATATTTGGCGCCTAAATATTGTGAGTCCAAACAAAAAATGAACTAATTATGAGTTTTCTGAAATGTATTTTAAGTATACTTGTAGATATTACCAATTTGCCTTTTCAACTATTATTACTACTACTAAAATTACTAGCAGTATAATTTTTGGGTTATAGAATATATATATATATGTATATGTAGATTATATATATCAAATGCTATATGTAACCAACTTGCTCTCCATAATGGCTATACCACTGCAATTCATACTGCTATTAAGAGTATATTATAGATATTATCTGTTTTCCTGAGTCTTATTAGTCTTGGGTAGTAACATTCTCCTCAATCCCCATCAATCTGAATGGGAAAAATTATATTTTATTATCAATGGAAATTTATTATTTTTAAATTAATGTTGACACTGAATATCATTCACCTGTTGGAATTTTGGTCTTTCCTGATCATCTCATTATACACTTGGCTTGAAATAATTTTTAAAACTAAAACAGTAATGTCATATCATGTAAAATTTATTTATTAATATGAGGAGAAGTATGCAGTATTTAGTAAAAGTTGACTTTAGGATCAAGGAAATCTGCAGTTTAACACAGAAATGTAAGAATATGTATAAGCAGAAGGAAGAAGCCAGAGTAAAGCAGGAGTTAAAAGTATAAAGGAGATAAGGTTTCACTGCGGACCTTAGGCTCTGTGTACACTGGAATCAAAGCCAAGGTAAAAGGAATAACTGTGAACAGGAGGAATATTTGTTTCTTTGATGAGGTGCTGGTAACATACGACAAATGTAAATATAGATAGATAGGTAGGCAGTACAGGATCTTTAGAAGTATGAGCAATCAGGTTTACATTTTCATTTGCTGAAGAAAGGAGATATAGTAAGAAATTCAAAGAGTGGAGCAGTGATTTGAAATAACTGCTAAAGGGAAAAGGAGATGATGCTGATAAAATTCAAACATAAAATGTCTTGTTTTGGGCTGGGATTGGAGACTGTACATTTAGATAAACACCAAAAAATGTATTTGTGTGGTTTGTATCACTTCTAAGGGTTAGAATTCTTGATGTAGGAAAATAAATGGTAGCAAATGGGCTTTTCAAGGTAAGTACCCGCAAAAAAAACCCTTAAGAATTGAGTATGTTATAAAACCAAGATTGTCAAGATTGTGATATTTAAAATAAGTTATAAAATAATTTATGGGTTCTTAATTTTTCTAAAAGTCTGCCTAAAATTCCTGCTGCTATGTAACACAAACATATAGTAATCTTAACAATAGAAAATTGATCACTCTTTCGCAATTCAGACTAGTGTCTTTTTTTCTTTTTTTGTACCAGGGATTGAACTCAGGACCTTGCACTTGCAAGGCCAGACTAGTGTCTTTTAAATCAACTTACTTTCTTTTGGGGAAATTTTGTCAGTTTCACCCAATCCTTCCTTCAACTTCAAGTAATGGGCATGAGGAAAAACACTGACCTCTGATATTTTAGCTATCTTTGTCTTCTACTCTTGTGAAAAGGATTCACTTCCCCTTTTCTTAGCCACAATGTCTCCTGTTCTGTCATGTCACCTTCTTTTTCCCTTCCATGGATGCTGTGTTTTTCTAGCTATCATCTACATATCTTCTTGTGTTCATATTCCTTTACAATTCCATCTCAATTTGGCCTGAAATAATGAATTTCTAGAGGGAAACAGGCCTGATGAAAAGAATAAAATTTTTAGCATATTTGATAAATATACTCATTAGGTAAGGTACTAAGTTGATAGTCTCATTTAAATATTTTTAAATGTTTTAAAGTAATTTCATTATAGTATTGTGCAATCTTACTATCTATCTCTCTAAAGAAGATGATGTAAATATTTCTGGATATTTTACAGAATTCATAGAATTCCCTTAGGGAAGTTGATATCAAGATTTATAACATCTCACTGAGAAGTTGGTTGCTGTGAGGAATCTCACAGCATTGCAGATATTTCTTACTTTAAACTCTCTTCTCTCTGTCACTCTCTGCCTATCTCTCTCTCTGGCTTGTACCTGTCTCCCTTTTTTTTCAGTACTGGACATTGAACCCAGGGCCTCACATAGGCTAGGCAAGTGCTCTACTACTGAGCTACATCTTCAGACTTTTTAAAATTTTATTTTGAGACAGAGTCTGTCTATATTACTTAAGCTGGCCTTAAACTCACAATCCTCCTGCCTCTATCTCCAGAGTGGCTGGGATTACAAGTATATTCCACAAGCCCTGCCTATTTGTCACATTTATTATAGTTACATTTGTGGGCTCTTTGTGAGCAGAATCTGTGAATTAGTCACTTATATAGCAAATAAGACAGAGTAGACTACAAATAAAATATTAATATTCCTGTAGCCAAAGACAACATGCAGTAGAAATAAATTGTCAAAGATCCTTAGGCTATGAAAGGATATTATTTCTAGGAGAAGTAGTAAGATAGAAATAGTCAAGATATTAGTAGGAAATAAAAGATGGTAGAGAATTCAGCTATCTAGAAGTTTGATAGTGAGTTTGAAATTCTAAAATTCTACTTTCTTAGAAAAATAGTGAATTTATAAACATACTCCTATTTGAGAAAGACTGAGACGGGGAAGGGGAGAAGAGGAGAGGGAAGGTGAAGGGGAAGAGAAGAGAGGAGAAAGAGTAGAGGAGAGGTGAGGGGAGGAGAGGAGGGAGGAGAGGGAGAGGAAGAGGAGAGGAGAGATATGTTAAAATATTGAGACACTTAAATACTGTAATGAGAGGGTCAGGGATTTAGTTCAGTTCTGTCACTTGCCTCACAAGTGCAAGGACCCAAGTTTGATCCTTGGTACCAGAAAAAAAAATTCTGTAATGAGAAATCCAGGTTTTATCATGGAAGTAGTGAGAGTTTCAGAAGTCTTCTTGTACCTTATACATTTATAAAATATATTTTATAACATTTAAAAGATAACACTATAAATATTTGTTGTCAGTGAATATGGATTTGGGGAGTAGACTGGAGTTGAGAAGCAAAGCTCAGAAAGTTAAACCACTAACAGTGGAAAAGTCCTGTGACCACAAGCAACAAGTACACAGTGTATTCCTATAATTTTCCCAGAAGTCTCTGAGAATGTTTCTTTAGCAAATATATTTAATAATTCATGTACCAATGCTGCCTTTTTTCCTCAAGTAATTCTATTATACTACCTAAACAAATGTTTCTAAAGATATCTATATTCCTAATACTTTAATGTCCTAGATGAGCATTTAGCCATATCTGCTTTACAATAGTTCCATGCTAAAAATCATTGTTCTATTTGGAGCAGAAATTAAAGAACTTGGTCACACACTTTTCTGTGCACTGCAACAAACTTATAAATATTTCCTAAGAAAAACTTTGGTCCCATTCACAAGGAGTTACTATATGTATACATTGCCTTGAATTTATGCATTAAACCTTGTTATTTTCTCTAATGCTACATGAGGATGTGAACCTAACTTTAACTCATTTGGGTTAGGTGTAATTCAATGGATGATACGCAGTTATGATTGGATCAGGTGATACATAACAGTTACCAAGTGTGAGACATAATTTTTGGCAGATATTGCACTAAATACTTCATTTGTACTTTCTTTAAGTTATCTCTGGACAACAAATATTTAACTGTTATTCTTCTGAGCCATCTTTCCACTGCCAACAGCTGACTCTGAGTATTTCTTCTGGCTATCAGAGCCTGTTATGTGCACCCAGGGCAGACTGGAGATACTAGTGACTTAGTTTTCCTTCATCCTGTGGATGGCAGAGGGTGGTGGATAAATGTCACAGTTCCTGTGCCCCTGAGCATTATACTTCTAAGATGTATGTTCTTAAGGTTGTAGAGTTCCCCAACTTTCCTGAGTCTCATTTACCTACAGTAGTAACTAGGTTGATAATGTGTCACTTGTTGGATTCCTTTATAGTTTTTTACTTCACTTGTGCACTCCCCAGTCATATTTCCTGAGGTAATTTCCCAAATAAAGGCTTCTGAAGAAGCACCAACTAAGACAATGATTCTCTGTAATAGGAATTATCTTCATTTTTAAAGATGAGAAAATTGTGAAACAGGAAGGCTTGGCAACTTGTCCATGATCATGAAGCTATGGGGAGCTATTAAGTGAAGCAGCTGAGATAAAAACTTGTCTCCAAAGACAAATCTCTGGATAACTGTGCACATGATTTTTCAGTCTGTAGGAATTTCTAAATTTCTTTCAGTTATTATGATTGGGAAAAACTATTGGCTTTATGAACCATTAGTTGGGTTTTAATCCTTGTGGCCTGACTTTTTCACTTCTTTTTTCCTCTATCCATGTTCGTCCAGAAAAACATTTTCATTTATCCAGAGCTTGTTTTCCTTGCTATAACTCATCCCTCCATGATCCTGGATTATGTCCTTAATCTCATTTTATTTTTAAAAAAACTTGCTTCTCATTCACCTTTTCTCGTACCTTAAATTTTTGTTACACCTTT